ATGTGGGTCAGGAAGCAACAGTTAGAATCTTACATGGAACAATGGACTGGTTCAAAATTGTGAAAGGAGTGCAAGAAGACTGTATATTGTTACCCTGCTTATCTGATTTCTATGCAGAATAAATCATGCAAAATGCAGGGCTGGGTGAATCACAAGCTGGAATCAAGATTGCTGGGACAAATATCAACAACCTCACATAGGCAGAATATACTACTCTCACGACAAAGTGAAGAGGAACTAGAGAGTCTCCTGATAAAGGTGGAAGAGGAGGGTAAAAAAGCTGACTTAAAATGCAACATTCAAGAAAGTGCAAAGAGATCAAACCAGTCAATCCTAAAGGAAATCAGCCCTGAAAATTCATTGGAAGGACTCATGCCAAAGCTAAAGCTCCAATACTTTGGCCATCTGATGCAAAGAGCAGGTTCGTTAGAAAGAATGCTGATGCTGGGAAAGATTGAAGGCAAAAGGAAAAGGGTGGCAAAGGATGAGTTTGTTAGATAGCATCGTCGACTCAGTGGACATGAATTTGAGCAAACTCTGGCAGAGAGTGAAAGACAGAGGAGCCTGGTGTGCTGCAGTTAGTTCATGGGGTTGCAAAGTCAGACCAGACTTAGCAATTGAACAACAGCAGCAAGCTATTTGTCTATAGACTTCTCACAGTGAAGGGAAAGGGCATATTCATTAATTGCATTTTCATTTTTGTTTTTCTTCTTTTAATGACATTTTATACTTACCAAAAAAATGATGCTTTTTAACTTTCTATTAGCTAAGTGTGATTTTTAAGTGTAATATTTGTTTGAGAATATTAACTAATAAAAATGTAGAGCAAAGTTATGTCAACTCTTTTTGAGACAATCATTGCCTTTGTGTTTCAGTGTTAAGAGCATTATAGATGACCAAGAATTGTCCTTTTCTGGTATTCTCTCTATTATGCTTTAGGTATTATGAGGTTATCAGATATTTCTTTTGTAATTTACAGTCAATGTATTCCTTTTACACTTCTATTTAGTCTAAATTTTCAATGCCCAGTTTCATGTGAAGAAAAATTCCTCTTTCCATATACATCACATCAGTTTGTTCTTAATTTAAAAAAACCTAAGGAACTTGAAATAATCCCTATTTACCATGAGTTGAAATTTTCGGAAACTGGAACTTGGGAGTACATATATTTCAAGCCTGGGTTTGATTTTGTATGTTTGTGTGTGTTTTAGTCTCTTAGGTCCTATCCGACTCCTTGCAACCCCATGGATGTAACCCACCAGGCCCCTCTCTCCATAGGATTTCCCAGGCAAGAATACTGGAGTGGGTTCCCATTTCTTTCTCCAAGGGATTGTCCCACCCAGGGATTGAACCCACATCTTCAGCATTGACGGGCAGATTCTTTACCACTAAGTCACAGGGGAAGCCAGGTTTGATTTTTTGAAAGCCCTTTGAACTCACTTCTGTTAATTCATTTTCTGATGAGTCAGCTTCCAGCAGATTTAGTGAGTCCTGAAGGCAGTTACTGTTGACCAGCGTTTTCCACAGTGAGGAGATACTCCCCCTGTTCCTATTGCTCTCTCCAGCTTAGGAACTCTGCAGTTTTTCTTTTCTGTAGCTCTGCAGGGCTGCATATATTCATATTGTTCCACTTAATTATAAAATGAAAGAAGTTAATTAGAAAAGTAGAGACAATATAGGACAATAGAGAAAAATAGAGACAATATCAGGATTAATGGAGATAGAAGAGGCAATGAAAAATCTTGAGGTTTGTTGCAGAGTGGCAAGAAGGATATTATTGACCAGCTTTATGTGATGTGAATCTTTGTTTCTGAATGGGCAATAAGGTGGTGTGAATGCTTTGTTGGAAAAACATGTATAAAGTGCCAAGGAAGCATAAAAATAATTATCTCTAAAGATAATTAGGGGCTAGCTAGGCATTCTAGGCAATGGGCAGCTTGTACACAGCTTTGGATGTAAATGATTTCTGAAGGTGCCTTAAGTATGGAATATGTATGTGAGTTTGGAGAAGAGGTTGGGTAGGTGGGCAGCCGTTTCCTGTGCCATGCTGAATTTTTCACTGTTTTTATCTTGAATGTGGAATAAATCATTGTACTGTTTTAAATAGAGGAGTATCATGAATGTGTTTGCATTTTAGAAAATTATCCTGCAAGAGATATAGAAGGTATAATGGTAGGGAAACATTGAGGATTGTTGTTCAGTTGCTCAATCATGTCTGACTCTGCGACCCCGTGGACTGCAGTGCGCTAGGCCTCCCTGTCATTCACCGTCTCCTGGAGTTTGCTCAGACTCATGTCTGTTGAGTCAATGATGCCATCCAACCATCTCCTCCTCTGTTGTCCCCTTCTCTTCCTGCCCTCAATCTTTCCCAGCATCAGGTCTTTTCCAGTGAGTTGGCTCTTTGCGTTAGGTGGCCAAAGTATTGGAGCTTCAGCTTCAGCATCAGTCCTTCCAGTGAATATTCAGGGTTGATTTTCTTTAAGATTGACTGGTTCTATCCTTCACTGTGCAGGTGAAGGAAGTCAGTTAGAGGTCTCCTGCTTGTGAGAAATGAGGGGGCCCATAACTCTGACTGTAGCAGAGGGAGGGGGATTTGCCAATTTGTGAGCTGTTAGACAGGACTTAGAAAACAATTAGATGTAAGATCCCTGGAAAAGAGCGCATTTGAGATGATTTCTGGATGTCTGTTTTGAGTAACTTGGTGAATGGAGATGCTAACCAAATGTGAAATAGAGTCTTGAAGGATTGACAGAAAGTTGATTTGAACATGATAAAGTATTTAAGTAGAGGTGTCCAACAGGCAGGTAACTATAGAGATACAGTTTAGAGAGAAGCTTGGATTTCAGGTGGTGATTTGGATATCATTGGTATTATAGATGGTGAAAGCAAAGAGACCTCCTGGGAAGAACTTATCTTGATAGGGGAAGAAGACTGAGTTATATAACCAGAGGCTGGAAGAAAGGCAGGAAAAATGAGGGCAGGGACCCATCAGGCAAAGGAAGAGAGGAATTCAAAGAGGAGGAGTGTCCAGGATTAAAGTTTCTGATCTTCAGAGGCAAGAAGTTTAATAGGGACTGGATAGTGCCCATTGGCTATGGGACAGTATCACAGTGTCACTGGGAAGTGAAGCAAAAACAGTCTCTGTGAGACGAGTGGGACTAGCGCTGTGAGGTGGAGGTGAGGGGAAGTGTTTATTCTTTTCCCTCCAGAAGCTTATCTTACCGGAAGGTCAGCCAAGGCCATAGTGAGGCCTACTTCGGGAAAGATTTTGATGAGAGAGACTTGAGATTGGGGAGGTAGCAGATTGAAGGAGTCTAGAAATAGGATAATTTCTATAACTAGCTTTGTAGAAAGGAAAGGGGTTTGGGACCTGTGTAACACTAATTCCATTTTACTTGTAGTGGCTTGAGGTGATTGTGGGAGCCACTCAGATTAATTTGCCATTATATTACATCATCAATTTTACTTTTTTGTCAGATAAAATTTTATTTTTTCATTACTCTCATTTCCTGATTGTAAACACTGACATCGCTGTCTGTTCATTTTTTCATCAGGTAGCACATTGTGTGGAGCACCTTTGAATTTGCCCTGTGTTTTCAAGCTCCCACCTCCCCCCAAAACTCTCAGACAGGTACAAATAGTGAAATATGCCCCGTTGCAAAGACTCATTCATTCCTGCTCAACCAGTAGTGCTTTTGCCTCAGATGGCAGCATCTATATGTGCTCTATCCCAGCCTTTTCAGACTTTTTCTCTTAGAATAAATTTGATAAATTTCTTCATGTATGAATAAAACTCAGTGCACTTCAACACATTTGAATAAACATCTCTGTCTGAGGAATTTCACATATCAGAATACCTATGGAAGATAGGCTTCTAGTGATGGTATCTTTTAATATTTTATTTTTATTCATTTTTATTTTATTTACTTTAAATTAATACATAATTGACATGTAACTTGTGTAAGTTTAAGGTGAATGTGTTGATTTGATATATTTATATATTGTCATATGTTTACCACTGTAGCATTAGCTAACACCTCCATCATGTCACACAATATTATTTCTTTTTGTGGTGAGAACACATTAAGAGATGGTACCTTTTTAATATCTCCATTCTATTCATATGTTAAGGTTGTTCAGCCTAAACTTTGCATTCACATAGTCAAAAATAGAATTAATAGAAAGGATTCTGCTTTACATAATAATTAACCACTCAGTTTTTGAACCAGTTATAAAAAATGTATATATTATGATTTATAAAAGTTTCAGTAAAATAGTAATCTGTTTCTGGACTAAAGAAAGTCTGATTTTGAGTTTGTGATTGGCTAATCCCTTCCCAGTCATACTTAACAGGCAGATTCAAGTGTCTCTTCCGTCTGAAGTGTCTGGTATTTTCTAGGAATTATTCATCGCGCGTGTGTGTGTGTGTGTGTGTGTGTGTGTGTGTGTGTGTGCGTGCTCATTGTATTGTGTGTGTGTGTGTGCGCGCTCATTGTATTCTTACCAAATGGTAGAACTATTGGGTTGATGCCTTGGCAACCACTGAGACTGTTTCTGTCTTGTTTGAGTAAATATATTACTTCTCTGAATGAGGTTCTATCATTCTAAGAACCAAGATAACCTGTAAAGGGGTCATGAATTATCCATTATACCTAAGTCATTCCAACTTGAAATTTATATGAACCAAACATCTCATAAAAGACTTTAGGTTCAAAGATTACAAAGAACTGTGATCCTGTTAATGCAACAGAAAGTATTTATGAAAGTATTTCAATAGTACGGTAAGATTTAAAGATGTTACTGCGTATTTTAAGTGGTAGAACACTATATGATCATTACATTTTCTAGAATCATGATAAATGCTTGTTTAGTTAATAGTGAAAGGAATACAAAATTCTATAGATAATATTCCATTTAAATTATATTTACATTAAAAAATATGAAATAATTGCATAGAACAGCCTTACTGAAGAAGCATGAAGTCTTTCTTTCTGTTTCAGCTAATCTTCCAGTGCCAACCATTGCAGCAATTGATGGACTTGCTTTAGGTGGTGGACTTGAACTGGCTTTAGCATGTGATATAAGAGTAGCAGGTGAGAATTAGTCCTATTAAAACATAACTTTTTTTCCTATTAATTTTTGAGAATTTGGTTTGAAACCCCAACTAAAAATCTTAATTTATCTACTTAAAATAATTGTCATATATAGTGGAACTATATGTAACTTTGTTCTGTATTGTCCAAGTTTCCTGTAGATGTTTTTATACTTTCATAATTTAAAAAATAAAAAAGAAAGAAACATAACTTTTAAAAAATGAGATTTGTATTTCTTGTTTGTGCTCAGTTGTGTCCAACTCTTTGTGACCCGCTAGACTGTGGCCTACCAAGCTCCTCTGTCCGTGGGATTTTCCATGTAGGAATACTGGAGTGGGTTGCCATTTCCCCTTCCAAGATCCCTTGGATCTATCCCTTAATCAGAAATAGAACCCGTGTCTCCTGCATATCCTGCATTGGCAGGTGGATTCTTTACCTTCAGATAATTCCAAATATTTTTTTCTCCCGTATTGTTGAATAAAATATGTTTAAAAAAATCACCTGCTGAGCTTAATGAAGTATTTAAAATTCCCAGTTAAGAAAACAGTCTTTTATAGTATCTTTTTCAGTCTTAACAGGAATAAAGGAGAACAGGATTTGGGTCAGATGGAACTGAATTTGGATCTTAGGTCCTGTCATTTTTAGATCATTTTCCTCCTGTACAGTGGGGGAAATGAAGGTTTCTATTGTGAAGATTAAATGAATTCATCTCCGCATGTGCCTAGTCTAAGCATGTAATTATTACTAGGGCTATGGTAATAATGACTTAATGTCTTTGAGGTTCACTTTGTTCCTGCAAGGTTTTCTGAGTATTGGATGAGGTGATTATGAAAATAGTAAAGGAAACAATTAGTGCTAACCATGTGCTGAGTATTGACCTGGTGCTTACCTAATACTTGACATATACTTAGGCTCACTTAATCTGCATAATAGCCCTGTGAGATAGATACACTTTTGGTGCTTGAGGAAGCTAGGGCTGAGACAGGTGAAGAAACAAACCACAAATCAGTGACCAAGCTGGGATTTGAACCCAGGCAGTCTCATGTCACAGCGCTCACTTCTGTTATCCTTTCAGAGTACTGCATGCTGCCCCTGCTATTCTCGACACTATCTTCTGTATGATCACAGTGCTGTCTGTATCGTTGTCCCTCATCAGGGCGACAAAGAGGGGCTCTCGGACCAAGGACTGAGTGCCACAGGCAGCACATATTTGTCACTGTTCTTTCCCTGGTTCCCATTGTCTCTTCTGATGGAGCTGCCTGTTAAATGTAGAATCATTATAATTATGTTTTTAATAATTTTACGGTAACTGGCTCTTGGAATTTGCATTTACTAATTTATGTGTACTTTCCCTTTTCAGTTTGTTTTAGATTTCTGTTTTCTTGACAGCTCTTTGGGTTTTAAACTGAAAAGTCAAGTTACATGCAATCCATCTCTGAAAGAATGCAAGTTCTGGGAATTAGGAGATAGGAAGTAGTCCAAGCACATTTGGATATGCAAATAAAGAAATAATTAAGATATTTTAAAGTAGCTGTGAGAACAAACATGGAAAGAGGAACCCATCCAGCTGTCAGAACAGTAAAACCATTTGTCAAAAGTAACTAGAGATTTGGTCCTGAGTTACCATATCTGATATGATATATTAAGCTATTTGATCTGGAGGACTGTTGGGGCAGCTAAAGAATTCTTACTTGTTAGACACAGTCTCCCTCCTGATCCCGAATAATGAATGAGATCTATGCCTTCAAACATGACTTGGCAGTATCAGGTCAAATTATGTAGTTAACACCCCTGGTCTTTCTGCATCAAAACTTAATTTGCTGCCAAGCAATTTTTAACAGAAAATGTTGTGTGAATCTCTTAATATATATCATTTAGAATGTTTACTTATTTACATAACTGAATGCCTTCTGGAGTGATTTTTTTAAAAGATTTATGACAAATTTAATTAGTAAACAATATTTCTAGCGTATATTACTATTTCAAGTCATCGTATTTGAATTTGATGATTTGGATGTTATTTAATTTTCTTCTTTCCTTTTTAGCTTCCTCTGCAAAAATGGGCCTGGTTGAAACAAAGTTGGCAATTATTCCTGGTGGAGGTATGAATTGTTCATGCCCTTCTTGATCTGTCCCTGGAAACAGAGCATAAGGCAAAAAGGTGTTAATTGAAAAGGCAACAAACATTTTGGGTAAAGAAACTAATGCTGTGTTGTTTGCTTGTAACAGAGTCCTCATTCAAAAGGTGTTTTTTGGTTTCTGTAGGTGTGGAGATTGCAGACACGTTGCCTGTTGCTCTCTTGCTCTCTTTTTGTGCTTGCCCTGTGCTTTTCTGTATGATTTCTTAACTTTAAAATTGTTACACTCGTCACATGATTCTTGAAGGATTGCACTTGTATTTTGAAACTTTAATGTGAGTATGTAAATGTGTGTGACCTCAGACCCCAGTGCAGGAGGGGGCAGAGGTTCCCAGGCTTCTTGCCAGCTTGCTTGTGTTTCTGTGCAGCTGGACAAAGCTTGGGGTTGTTTGGTAGGCTGAATTTGGATCTGAAGAGGTGCTATTTCTTCTCTGTTAACCATAAAAAAGATAGTTGAGCTGCTGCATTTGGAAGATTAATAAAGCACTTTTCCAGCATTGATAATGAAATCTTTCACCATAAGGTAAATCTGAAAATTTTGTTCTTTTGTCTGCTCAGAGAATTTGGAGCCATTGCCATTCTGTTGAAGTCTTTCTTTCAAAAAGTAGGCTTCATCCGAGGCTGTCCTCTTTGATAACATACTAGTTTATGAATGAAATAATAATAATTAAAAAGTTAGAGCAGTGTTTGAACACTTCTTTTGTACCTGAGTTAAAATGATCTGTTTAACCTTATTATAAGAATATTTATCTTGATTAGGGTGTGTAGGTAGAAATTAAAACATAATTCAGTGAAATTGAAGACTACCCAGATCAATGTGTATGATTCACTAAGTTTTCTACTTTGGTAATGTGCAAAAAGTAATTCTTGTAAGTAAAAGCATTCACTGTCTACCTGTTTTACCATGCTAGCCTTTTTTACTGTGACTCATGAAAAAGCCGAAAGAATTTATAAAGCTTTAGCTTCTTCTGTCTTCTGTTGGGAGCTGCTTATGTCGTATTAGGTCCAGAAACTAGTCTTTTCTTTCCAATGTGCTTCAGTTTTTGGGGTCTTCTGCAATAGTGAATCCATTAATCAGAACCTATGTTTTGTATATATGATTGAGTTTGGATTCTCATAAATACTATTAGTTAGAAAATTTTTATTGAATTTGTTAAAAAATTTGTAATGCTTTAACATTTTCCATATATTTATAAAGGATAGTTTTCTGTCTTTTTTTCTTTCCTTTATTTCTAAGTGAATCTGAAGTAATATATGTCAGTTGTTCCTTTAATATAATAAAGCTTTCAAGTCCATAGTGCATGTAATTTGTAATATTGAACTTATTGAAAATTAATCTTATTTTATATAAAGCCACATATTCACCTTTAGATGATAAGAGGTGCATGTAGAAGTTTTTGCTTCACTCTTGTATTAGTATTATGGTTATTAAAGTATCCCAAAGTAAAGTCTGTTTTTCTTTTTGTTTGTTTGTTTTAATAGCAGCAGAATAACTTAAGTAAGCATTTTTTTAAGTATAGCTAAAGAAGTTATTTCTGAAAATTTTATGGAGAAAATCCTCTTCTGTCTTATGCATATAAAATTTTTTTAATCCACAAATATTTTCTCTATTTTCATTTTTCTCCTTCCCTTTCTCTTAGATGATCCTCCTATGAAAATACTGCTTATGTTTTCTTCTGTTTTTAAAGTTTTTTTTTTAATGTGGGCCATTTTTTTTAAAAAAGTCTTTGCTGAATTTGTTACAGTGTTGCTTCTGTTTTATGTTTTGGTTTTTTGGTGGCAGGTCACCTGGGATCTTAGCTCCATGACCAGGGATTGAACCTGCACCCCCTGCATTGGAGGGAAGTCCCCTGTGTTATTTTTTGCTTAAAACTGTTTTTAAATTGGTGGATTTTCTATGCCTAAAATGATCTCTGGGATGTTCCCCTTGCTTTTTTTTGGACTATGAACATTGCTGCTGTTATGAAGAGCTTATTACCATAATAGACGTAGCAGACTACACTGAATTTTTTTCTCCCTTCCTCGTGGTACCAAACTTGCTTCATGTTGTAGATGCTCATTGAGCAGCCAGTGCTCCTGACCCTTATCACTGAGCCTGTCTTCAGCGTCAGTGGTCCCAGCCTTCCATCTTTCAGACAATGGTGGCTGTGGATAGAAGATGGATAGAAGATAACTAGGAAGAATTCAAATACAGCAAGAGTATTGTGGGGAAAAAAAATAAGACTTTCCTTTTCTTTTTAATACTATGGATGGAATAAATATTTTTGGGTAAAATGTATGAATTCCATTCAGTCTAGAAGATACATGTCTGTAAGTCTGAGAAATAATGCTCTTCTGAGTTGTTACAAGTTCATGGTTTCATACTGGCCAGCATTTGAAAGTTAATCCAGTTGGAACTGTACCTGTCCATTTGTATTTACTGTATGTTTGATCAGCTGCAAGAGTTAACCTGATGCTCTTAGTTTGCATATTATTATCACTTCTAATCTTTTATGATAACAGTTTACTGAGAAACAATCAAAACCTGACATTTACTTTTGGGTTTTTGTTTCTACTTGAACTCGAGTCTGAATAACAACATGTTATATGTAACATGTATAACAATATAACAATATAACAACATAACAATAATAACAAATTTTTATGGTATATTTTGTAATTCTTCTTATAATGCAACAAGTTAAATTATAAAATGGTTTTTTTAAAGTGATAGTACTATTTCTAATGAATGTATTAATGGACCATCACTGTAAGTTTTAGGTTTAATATTCTAAATTTCAGTTTTTACTTGACTATTAAAATTACATAGTTAAAAAAAAAGTAAGATGTAAAGAAAGGTAGAAACATACTAAAGCCAAATTGAACTTCTTTAAGTTGTATTTTGTCAGATACAATTAAAAATGGAGTGTAAGTGACTGTCCTATGCTTAAACCAGCACCTTTATTTGTTTTATATATATTTATATAGACAAATATTATAAAATATGAAAATACAAAATAAAATTTAATGATGTAAAGTTTAAAAATCATTAATATTGTTACCCTAGGATCTTCCTATGATATTTTAAATTATATTTGGGATTTTTATATACTAAATAGCCCTATCTGTCCTCCACTATTTTCACCTTTAAGAGAGCAGCTAAATTTCCTGTCTTCTTCCTAACTGGGAGAATGCTCCAGTATTATAAAATAAAATTCTCTTTTGGGAATAGCTCCCCAAACAATACTGCCCTTAAACATGTTTATAAGACCGCAATAAAACAAGCTCAGGAGCTTAGGATTCTGTTATTTGACAGTTTAGAAAATTTCTGCTAAATGTGCACAGAAAATGGTGGCCTCTGCCTCTGTTTAACCATCGCTACATCTCTACAGTTGCCTCTGTTGAACCATCTCTACAGCTTCTGCTGGAGGATTTGGGGTATACGTCAGGAAACTTTATTATAACTAAGAAAAGTGTTCTTTGCTTTTTGCTTGGATATATACCCCTGTGGACAAGATGTCTAGTATTTCCATTGCTCTGTGGCTGTCTTTCATTCTCTCTAGCCTTTTTTTTTTTTTTTAATATTCAAACTTTAGGAACTATGAAAGGCAGTGAATGAACCTCTTTATACCTTTCACCAAGGTCTCTCCTCATGCCCCTTGTCCTTCCACTCTTTGTCTTTCTCTCATATACTTATTCCTTTTTTTTTTTTCTGAACCATTTCAAAATAACAAGGTGAACCTTTAAATATTTCAATGTGCTTTTCATAAGAATAAGAAAGGAGTCTTTAACCACAACCCTGTTGTAACACCTAACAGTATTAAAATTAGTATTATTAATATTCAGATTATCCCAGGTTCAAAATGTTATTTGTAGTGTTTTTTTGTTTTGCTTTTCTAATTCAGGATTTATTTAAATGTCACAGATTACATTTTTGTTTTTTAAAAGTTTTGTTTTTTAAAAGTTTTACATCTCTTATTGTTTCTTAAAACAGTAATCTTTTTAAAAAAAGTCAGACAAATTATCTCCTTGAAGTTTGCACATTCTGGATTTGACTGAGTTATTTCCTCATATTTAGGTTTATGATAAAAAATGTTTTCAGAGAATAGTAAGTGGGCCATGTTCTTTATTTCCTTTTCTTTTAATTTGTTGGCACTTAAGAGTTAGATTGTCTCACTTTGGGTGACAGTAACTTTGATCACTTGGTTAAGGTGGTGACTTAACTGTGCGTACACTTTCAGTATCCTCCTCTTGGAAGGTTTACAGGAAAAGAATCTTTAACTATTATTGGTATTAACTGCTTCCCAAATTAAAAAAAGAAAGGAAGAAAGAAAAATGAGTTTTTATTTTATTTTCCATTAAAAAACCAAAAAGAAGGAAGGAAATGAGAGCATTCAGATTTCACAGGGCCAGAGCAAGAGGCCCCAGTTTTGTTTCTTTCTCCTCCCCAGGATGAGGGGTTTGGGACATTACTGCCTGTCCCGCTGTATGCTGTGTTTAGCAATAAGGCGTCTCTTGGCATGGTGTCCAGGAACTCTATTTTAAGGTGTGTCTATGAAGTAATGACAGATTTTTAAATCCAGTGTGTGTGTTGTTCTGAACACAGTAGTCATTTTGGAAAGTTTTGTTTATAACCTTTGTTGAAATCTTCTTAGAATTTACATCAGTATCTGACCTTATTCTTCTGAATATCTTCAACAGTGACTCATCTTGATCCTGTGAGGGTGAACTTGATTTTCAAAAATAGCATAGGACCTTTCTGTGCCAAATCTGATTAATAAGGTCATACTATTTCAGGAAGAAGAAAAGTATAACAACAAAAGTAAGACCGCTTTTCTTAAGAGGCTTATAGATATCAAGCATTTACCAGTGTTACGAGCAGTGGACAGCGCTGCTGGATTTAGTGGACTGATTGCTAGTGACCTCTAAAGGCCAGTGCCTGTTCTGCTCTCTGAAGTCTAGTGCATTCATGAACACACTTCATA